GCTCTTCTTTTTCTCTATCATTTTGTTTATTGTTACCCGTAAAGCTAGAATGACCTCCAGCGTTCCTCCATTTCTTCCAAACCCAAATTGGTCTTCCTTAGGGCAAGAACAAAAAAAAAATTAAGGAACTTGACTTTATACTGGACCTGGATTGTTTCAACTTCAACAATTTGATTGTGCTTCTATTAAACATATTTTTTGTAGATAAACAGTGCCGTTTCAAACAATCGAAAAAAATTGAAAGAGTGAGTTTATTCTTAACATCCCTCCTTTTGATTACTTGCTTTTCACGGTACGACGGTATTTATGTTGACATCTAATGGACAATATCGGCAGAACGTCGTAGAATACTGTCCTTTTGGAGGCAAATCGGAGAAAGTTTGAAAGTTCTCGTAACAGGTGCCGCTAACAAGTTGGGGAAATGACGGGATCGACAAAGATACAAATAACTTTTAGTTTCATTTCTCATTTTTAACACGTTTCAGCAAGTCCTTCAAAGCAGATGCGGCAACGACTTACAGTACGTTCTCACGCAACGTAAATTAATATAGTTGAAGAGTAAATTAATTTAAAATAAGACTAAAACAGCTTTAAAAAGGAATGTCACTTTTTATTTTTAGAAAATAGCATCTCAGTTCATGGGAACGTTAGGTATCCATTTTGAAAATGAGTAGTTTACATATCCAAATGATTGTTTTTGGCATTGCTATTATGTGACTTCGTATTTAGTTGGAATACTATTTGTAACGGATATTAACAAGATAGTGAATAGGATATTGAGGTAATCAAATACGTCAAAAAGGGACATTCACCCTGATTTGCTTTACTGGGCGAACACGTGCTTCGCCCACCTCTCATATTGGTATTATCAACGAGAGGATAGAAAATACCACAAATGACGCGGTGAACGCCATCTGTAGTACGATGCTACATTTTAGGATTACGTATGTTCCAACAGGTCCATTTAAATATATGGATATCTACTTGCTGAAACGAATCCTGGCGTAGCTAACCTCAACGTGATAGGCACGTTACCATAATCGGATAAAATAATTCGGAGTGGTCTGTATTCTGCCGAAACTGCCAGACGCGGATCGCGATTTCGATCTTTTTGGATCTCATCAGCGGGTCGCAGATCACTTCGAATTATTTTATTCGATTATGGTAACGTACCTATCACGTTGAGGTTAGCTACGCCGGGTTTCGTTTCAGCAAGTAGATATCCATATATTTAAATGAACCTTGTTAGAGCATATGTAATTCTAAAATATAGCATCGTACTACAGATGGCGTCTACCGCGCCATTTGTGGTATCTTCTAAAACGCGCTGTTAAGACAGCAGGTAAAAGTTGGCCTGTGTTCTGTCGGAGCTGCCTGCGATGCGCTGATGAGATCTAAAAAGATCGAAATCGCGATCCGCGTCTGGCAGTCGACAAAATACAGACCACTACGAATTATTTTAAACAAGAGATTGTGTCCAAAAAATTTCAATGCAAATTAAATTAATTCAACCTTATCGAAAATCACGAACACAAGGTCACACACTTTAAAGTTCATCGAAACAACTCAGAATTGTTCCACAATTCAAATTAACTTCTTAACCAGGAACAATTATTTGAAATTTTTTTTCAAATCCATATCTTCTGGATTTGACTTAATTTATAAGTAAGTTCAACTATGGCAACATTAATAGTGAAATTAAATCCCAATTTATTAATTAATTTGCCGTATAGACAACATCTGGCTTCACCAAAGGCTGTTGGCTGCCATTTCTATTTCCTTAGTAGTTGCTTTAGTGTAATTAAAAATGCTCACGTGGTACACGTGGTAGCTTAAGGTTTGTGTAATTGAAGATTTATAACGAGTAATGTCAAGGGAAAGTAACACGTGACCATTAGTTTTTGTGGTATGTAAACCAATCGAACAGAAATTCTTCCTTATTCAAGCAGCGACTAGGCATCCTATACAATAATAAATTATAATATTAGCGTACAAACTGACACGACCACATGTATATATCGAATTATATACTCATATAAATATATATATACCTACAATATAATATGGATATGTATATATACAGGGTGTTTCTCAAATAAGTGAAGATTATGGAAGAAAACCACGCGAAGTTGCAATCCGAAGCCGACCCTGGGCGTGAATTTGGTAACGCATAGAGAAATTGGGATAATGTACACAGTAACGATTGTAAAACGACCAATAGCAGCTTACTACCACACTACTACACATAATAATCTTTAGATGACCATTGCGATAACAATTAATTAAACAAATACTTTGATCATTTCTGATTGCGTGCAGTACTACCTCGACATGGTATTCAGGACACGAAATAAAGTAAAAATTAACGTTATGTAAACTTCAATAGGTAAATTACTATCCTCTGGGCAGGTAATAGTAATATTATTTAATTTCCAAAACCACCATCAACGTATTTTCGAAGACATACATACGTACGTACAATACAGAAATTATTTCTGAGTGGCGCAAAAACGTTCGGCATTTGGCGTACTTCATTTGAAGCGATCTTACACGGTCGTGCAAATCATTATAGCATTCTACACTGCCGATTGATATACGCACGGTTTCATACAACCCGATACAAAGAAGATAAATGGATTTAGATCAGGATTACGCGCCGATCAAAGTAGAGGACCCGTACGTAATACAAGTCAAAAACTACTCTAGACTGACTGTAAACACAAACACCATAAATCACACTTTATATAATCTAGCAAATATCAGGCAATACATGACTGTAAAGATACAAAATAAATATAACACAGATGCTGCTAAATGTGATTGAATGCAGCGTTGCAATGTCGTATGTCTTTGAATGATCTTATCAGATCCGGACCGATACATTGATTATCTACATACATACACTCATACACAATAGAAGCCTACAACGTTAAAAGAACAAAGAACTACTCTAGACTGACTGTAAAGATAGACACCGTCAATCACTTTTTATCTAATCTAACAAATAAGAAGAGTACATGAGTGCAAAAATACAAAAGGAATACAACACAGATGCTGCTAAATGTGATTGAATGCAGGGTTGCAATGTCGTATCTCCTAAATGATCCTAACAGGTCCGGACTGATATATTGAGTGTATACATCATACTTGTACTATGAATGTAAAAATAACAAAGAAATGCAACACAGATGCTGCTAAATGTGATTGAATGCAGCGTTGCAATGTCGTATCTCCTGAATGATCCTAACAGGTCTGGACTGATATATTGAGTATATACATCATACTTGTATTATGAATGTAAAAATAACAAAGAAATGCAACACAGATGCTGCTAAATGTGATTGAATGCAGCGTTGCAATGTCGTATCTCCTGAATGATCCTAACAGGTCCGGACTGATATATTGAGTGTATACATCGTACTTGTATTATGAATGTAAAAATAACAAAAAAATACAACACAGATGCTGCTAAATGTGATTGAATGCAGCGTTGCAATGTCGTATCTCCTAAGTGATCTTAACAGGTCCGGACTGATATATTGAGTGTATACATCGTACTTGTATTATGAATGTAAAAATAACAAAGAAATACAACACAGATGCTGCTTAATGTGATTGAATGCAGCGTTGCAATGTCGTATCTCCTTGAATGATCCTACCAGGTCCGGACTGGCCCTTGCCTTTACTTCCAATACGCTTTTTTCGAAAACGGTGGACTTTCGGACCACCAAACATACTTAATTTTGTTCTTTTATTGTGTCCTATCACCTCCTAATAGCTTACTGCTTATTTCAGTAATACCCTGTATATATGATGATGTGTTCTCATGAATTCTTCAATTGCCAATGAATGTGTAGAATCTCTAAACAAAAGCGTTGTAGCAGGATATAATTTAAATAGTGAAAGTAATCAACAATAAATGGAAATAATAGAAAATGAAGCTGTAAATAAATGACGCACGTATACAATATATGGGCAGAACTGTTCGAATCGCATATTAAAAATACAATACTTACTTAAGAATATTTTTTTTTCAAAACTTTTATTATAAATCACTTACTACAGAAAATAAATTTAATGATTTCTTATGTGTTTATAAATACTGCAGCGAACATTTCAATCAACAGATGATAAAATTGAACGTTATAAAGAGCCACAATAATGGAAAGTTAGAATTGACATGAAAATACATATTAACAGAAAAGAAAACAAAACTTGATTTATTTGCTAATTGAAATTTTGAGTAGAATATATGAATAATTCAAAATTTTCGAATATCACACAAACTTGATCTAAATAGGTACATAGGTACGCACACTATTATTAAATCAGAATCTCTTGTACGAAAAATAAAGAAGAGTTCTGATATTGAACTCAAATTATCATTTGTTCATTCGTTGAGAAAACAATTATTTATGCGTACTTGCAATCATTTGAAATCAAGTTGAAAGAAAGTTTGTTTACCGTTTATAAAATGAATTTTCTATTTTCGTATTTTCGCCTCTAGTCGCACGGTAAAAAGGTGTCGAAGAAGTGAATTCCTTAATAAACATTGAACAGTTGTTAGCTCCCTCGAAAATGCAAGTAATATCGTATTATAAAAGTGTGTGTACTTGTCATTACTGACGTAATGGAATAAAGAGTGAAATTTATTTAAAAAAAAAAAACTTACATAATTGCATTCTCGGTGTAATTTAGACGTTAACGTTAGAAAGCGCAGTAAACAGTATATGCGGGACGATGATATCCTTGATCTTCGCAGGTTCGAGACTCCGCGCATATTGTACTTGTACAAGTGTTTGTCAATTGAAGTGAAAGTGACCTTCTTATAACAACCGCATTACTGACTCAATAAAGAAATTCATCTATTCTTAAGCTGATGTGACGCAATAAATTTAAGCACGTAAAGCTCGATAAGTAGAATGAAATACTTAATAAAAAAATTTACATTTATTTACAACAAAATAACGGACCATGCAGTCCATCACACAACACTCGTTATATTCATAAAATTGGAATATTTAGGTACATGCATAGCATATTTACAACAGTTTGTACTTAAGAAAGACAGGAGATTATATACAGAAAGCTAATTGAAACGTTAACTATCGTGTCAGTCCCATCCATGGTCGTGGTGATGTACTGTGACCCAGAATTTTTGCCAATAAGGCTTGTAAATCTTCTTCCACGCTGGCACTTGAATTTCTTTCCATACTGGTACAGAAACTTGTTTCCAAATATCTTTCCAAACTTCCTTCTTTTGTGTTACCCAAATCTGTTTCTTTTCTGTTCTCCAAATTTGGACTTTCTCTTGTTTCCAAATTAGTTCTTTCTGTGGAATCCAGATTTGCTTCTTCTCTGTCCTCCATATTTGCTCCTTTTTGGTAATCCATATCTGCTTCTTCTCGGTCCTCCAGATTTGTTTCTTCTCAACTCTCCAAATTTGCTTCTTCTCAGTGCGCCAAATTTGTTTCTTCTCCTGCACCCATTCGAGTTTCTTCTGGGGAATCCAAATTTGTTTCTTCTCAGTTCTCCAAACCTTTTTCCAAATAGGTTTCCAGATCAGTTTCTTCTTCCAAATGTCATGGGCCGTATATTCGTTGCCATGGTGGTCTTTTCCCAAAAAATGTTCACCATGAATTCCTTCTTTTACCCAAACGGGAACAAACGACTTTTTCCATTCTGGGACCTGTATTTCTTTCCATGCAGGCACCTGGATCTCTTTCCAAATCGGTTTCCAAATGGTTTTCCAGTCAGGTACTTGTATCTCTTTCCAATCTGGTACTTTAACCTCTACCCAATCTGGCACTTGGATTTCTTTCCAAGCTGGTACTTGAACTTCCTTCCAATCAGGTACCTGAATTTCTTTCCATGCTGGGACTTGAGTCTCTTTCCATATAGGTTTCGACACCCACTTCCAGTCGGGAACTTGAATTTCCTTCCAAGCAGGAACTTGAATCTCCTTCCAAACCGGAACTTGACTTTTCTTCCACTCTTGCTTCCATATGAGTTTCTTCTCGGTCTTCCATACTTTAACCCATTCTTCTTTCCATAGTAACTTCTTTGTCCAGTAACCTTCTTCTTTGTGAGACCTCTTTGCACGAGAAACGCCTACTGGACTACTAAGGCACAAGGAAACGAAAAGGCACAAAAGTACTGCCTAAAAAAGTAAAAAGAAAAAAACAAAAAAGGAATTGTACTAATTTTCGAACGATATTAGTTAATGCAATGAATGTGTATAAAAGATATTTGCATTCTAAAAAAAAATACAACTGCAATTTTATTGACTATTACTTTCGATTAGGATTAGGACTGATAAGACACAGAACTATCAAAAATTTTTGAAACAAAATAACTTATTTTGGTATTTTATTTCTTTTTCACTCTGCACTTTACAAAACAGGCACAACAGTCACGATTATTTTTTCTCGTTTTGAAAATTTGCACTGAATTCGTAGCACCAAAAATAAAAAGAAGAAACTAACCAGAAATGACCAACACTTCATGTTGCTGAATCGGGCCCCCTTGCAAGGGCTTCGAGCGTTTGAAATACGCACCAAGTTTACTTAAAGAGGACCATGGTATTCTTGTTATATAGCAAGAAGTCCTCAGGATTTCGGATGACTTTCCCCCATTCTATCGAATGTGGTAGGAAGGTGGCTGGCGCATTTCAGAACCCAACAACTTTCATCGTGCTTATCGGCGTTGTTGTTGTTGGTACAAGTACGAAACCCGCCAAGTGCAAATCGTGGGATGAAAATGTATGCATAAATGTATACACTTCAATCGTCTTCACTTCCTAATTATTGTCTAAACGTAATCGTTTGTTTCATGCTTATTAACTATTATACTGAGACCAAGTTCTTACGCATTTAAATTCTCACATCGTATCGTATGTTAAATAGAGCGTCACAATACGTTTGTGTAGTGTATGGTAATCAAGTACCAATGGTACTCCGGGCAGCCGCAGGTGTTGTCTAGGTACATAATTATATTTTAATTAATTTTCACCGTCTTAAAAACGCCATAAAAAGACTGCTACTCGTCATTTGGTGGTGAGAAACGGTTTTCATTCAGAGAAATGTATGTATTGTATAAAGTTTTATAAACTGAGTGTTCAATTTTCTACTGTATATGTAGCGAAGAAATAATTTTGTCTGTTATAAAGTCAAATAATATGCAAATCTTTAATAAAATTTCCATAATCATTATTTAAAAAAATTGCACTGATCTAGTGAAGTAAATAATAAAAATATAGACAAAATTAATTACAAAAAACACTCTAACAATAATCCACAATCTATAGTCAAACCTAACATAACTATTTCGCAATTATTTGTTTGCATCATCATTACCTATTGATCTTATAATAAACACAATCAATACCCACATGTCTTAATATTTTCTACAAAATTTCTCTTTAAATGCCTTGTTAACTAATAAGAGAAACACTAAACGACCCCATGAAAAATTTTAAACGTCGGGTTGAGGAATAAAACATAACATAAATAACTAATTTGATTATTAACATTGAAAGTTAAATATACATTTGTTTTATCCGAATGTGAAACAATACTAACCTAAAAATAATTTATGGAAAAAGATATTTTCCTATTATACTCCTACAAAAACTTTCTAACGTATAAATAGTGATTTCTATTAATGGTTATTTGATATTCTTCTCTATTAGTATCATCAAAGTTCCACAATATCCTCTTCCTTTTGCAGTAACAACTGAGAAGGTGCAATTATTTATTGGGATATGAAAGCAAAATTTTCCTAAATACTCAACATCCTGTTAGAAATAGTCACATGGCGGCATTTTGGGTACTAATAATTATACCGTAGGAGAACTAGTTGCATAAGCAAAAATTGTATGTAAATATATTAAAAAACAGAAATCCACTCGTTTAAGAGCTTCGTTAATGATGTGTAATACCATATTTCATATAATTTACCCTAATGAAAAGTAAAATTTCATTTTCTCCCTGGTAATGATTACATTTTAGAAGTAAACTGAGGTCGTTCAGAAGCCCACACAATAATGCTCCTTTTTTTGTCGTTAATTTTAACCCAATCATTATTCAGTAATTAATAGTGATAAGCAAAATTGGTTTTGATCCTTGTCTTGGTCTTGATTTTACAAAAATGCAAGTTCAAGACTGTCTTTATACAAGACCAACACAGAAAGAAAAAAACCAAGACCGAATATGCAAGACCAAGGTCAAATATGCGAGATGAAAAAATGAAAAATTGTTACTTCCGGTGGATTTGTGAGTTAAACCATTTGAAGCAACATTAATACATTCTTTTCTTGGAACAAAACATTTTTACCATTTGAAATTGAAAGTTTGCTTTACTAGATTTCAACAATAAATATAATTTTTCGATATGTTTCACTTCTTTCAAGTACCTTGTACTATTTTGTTCGCTTAAAGGTCAATTTATGCATTGGAGGAAGGTAAGCTTTTGTGTTTTCATAACTATCGACAATTTTTGATTAGAAGTGTTATTATAAAAAAAACCTAAGTATCGGCAAGATCAAGATCAAAACCGAATAAGCAAGACTTAGTCTTTGTCTTGTTTTGTTCATCGATAATAATAAAATTAATAGTTACTGAACATTTACGTAGGGGGTACGCGCCGTATACCCACTCATTAATAAAATTGCTCCATGCGTTCTCAATAATGTTACTACAATATGCTTATATTGAGGAAAATTTTGAAGAAAGTCGTGTACATAAGCTATTTATCTATAATTACTAACCAAAGTACGTCTATAACTATATTAAAAGAAATTCTTATGAAACTGTCTGTAACTTGTGCAAGATCAAGTACTCGTTGGGCTTTCCAATATTGAACATTTCGTAATACCACTAGATATTTGAAAAAATGTCAAGCAGGTAAAGAACTAATTAATTAATCTAAATGTATACATATACGTATTTAAGTACATTCATTATTAAAACGTTTTCCAATTTTTACTTCTCAATAAACTTATTAGCTTATTATTGTAATGCGAGTATTAGCATCTAGAAATCTAAATCATCAAAATTCATATGCTTACCCAAAGTATTAATAGTAAACAGAGAGCTCATAAAAAAATGATGAGGATATCGTGGATAGAGAAGGTTAGAAATGAAGAGGTATTAGACAGAATAGGAGAACAGAGGACTATATGGAAGTCTATAGAAAATATACGAAATAGGTTGGTAGGACACCATCTCAGACACGAAGGTCCAGTCAGAGACGTATTAGAGGCAGAAACAGGAGTTAGGAGGGGTAGAGGTAGACCTGGGTTAGATTACTGTTCGCAAATAGTTAAGGATGTGGGATGTTTTAGTTTAAGGGAAATGCAATTATTAGCTCACGATATGAAAGAGTGGATGTACGTGTCCGACCAGTCTTAGGACTAACGACCTTATGATAATAATGATGATAATGGGTCATGCCAAAAAGTCTATATTGCCCAAACAGAAAGACATTTAAAGCATGTTTAGTATGAAACAGCCATTATTTAAACAAGATTTTGGAATTTTACCTGGAATTTTTAGAAATTACCATACACATAGTTATGTGACATATTATAAGACAATATGGTTAAATTTTAACAAATTTTTTTAATTCGTCTCTACTTTAAATCGGACCCTGACACAAAAGTACTATTCTTGAACATCCATAAGTACTGTAGAAGACCTCATTATATATCCAATGAAAACGTAATTAATGAAATACCTAGTATACGTTTTTAGCACAAATTACGAAACTTGATGCGCCAAGAAAGAACATAAAAAGTACTTTTGTGTAACAAAAAAAAAGGCTACCTTTAAATTGCAACTGCAAACATTAACACTTAAAAGTTGTATGCCGATAGCTGAATAAACAACAGTTTGTACATACAAAGGTAAGTTATATACTAAAAAAGGATATGCAAACGCTAAACTGTTTTTAAAACAATTGGTTCAAGAGGTTAACCACTGTAAAAAGTGTACAGAGTTAATGCATTATGTTACAAAAGATGAGCACTTTCTCTCAAGCAAGTCGGCGGTGCAGAGTCTTAATATACAGTGTTACCAATTATATATTGTCCAATACGAAATATTAAATAGGAAATTAAAATAAGGATAATTAAATTATGAAAGGCTTTGATATTGTTTAATAGTGGTAAATAATATATCAAATATTAATGTGAAAATTCATTTTCAATTTACGTTTTTAGTAGTAAGAACATTGGCGCGTAAAGCCATCAAAAGTCCCGGGTTCGATTCCCGACGAGGGTCTCTCAACAACAACAATTTTTCCTCAATAACTTGTAATTTATAGTTGGTAGGTATAAATGGAAAATGATTTTTCACATTAATATTTGATATAATTAAACTGTGTGCCAAGTATTAAAATTATTTATATTTCTTTGATAGAACAGCCAGTATATGTTTTAATTAATTTCAGTAGTTCCGTTGTCTAATTAATACATTGCCTTCAGTTTAATTTACTTATTAAAACCTTTGAAGTTACACTTCTTTTGGTAATTTCAGCTTTTTTCTATAATTTTAACGTTTCTTTTACTTATTAAGTTGATAGCTACCTGGGTTAAAAATACACAAAGCATATCTAGGGCATACATCACTTTTTTAAACTATTAAATAACACAACAAAATTAATTGTATTGTTGTTCACATAATTTTAATGTTTTACCTTTTTTAACTTTGAGACTTATTTTTTTTACATTTTCGTTAGAATGATAAGTATCTGCCAATGAAAAACATGAAGATAATTTTGGCATGATGGAATGTTTCGCTGTTCGTATAATATTATTAATTTAATTAGCTGCTGTAAATTTCTGAGTTTGTTATTTAAGTGTAAATTGTTTAATGCTTTCCTATTGTTTATCGCTAATTGGTTATAACAAACGTGTGGTCAAGAATTCTAATAGGTGATTGTACCAAAGGCCTAGATACACAGTTAACACCAACTATTACGTCATAAAACTGATAGATTACCAACGATAATGTTTGCAAGTTTACTATTACGTAACATCTTAAAAGTTTTAGTAAATAAAATATCAAGTTAAAAATGTTCGCAATATACTTATTACAAATTCGTTTTGAATTTTCCGTAAATTTTCAAATAGATTGAGGTCATCTTCCACCATAATACCGATCGCACTGAAGATGACATCTGCTAAACATAACGAAACATTTGCAGTTAAGCAAAGATTAACGATCTTGAAAAGCGAAGATCTGCCATGATTTGTGATGATGTGTGACCAACTTTATTAATTTATACGATTCTGCTATAAAGCGACCAATACATATGCATGTTCACAAAATTATTTTTTTTTAGGATCCAATAATTAACCAGGAGCCCTTATTACAGTTGCAGTCTGTCCACTCATATGTCACAGTCTTCTATCCTCTCATTTAGTCTATTGACTTAGGAATGCAGTCTACTGTATTTAGCGCAATTTTTATTTCAATGTACTTGTTTACTGAAACAGTAAACAGCAATAATTTTACAAAAACCTCGGAAAATAGCTTCTGAACAATGCAGCATATCATCTTGTAT